GGGGGGGGGGGGGGGGCAGACAGATGTGGGGGGGATTGTCACTTCCCTAACACCACAAAAACCACCACCACCACCACCACCAACAACAACAACAACAACAACAACCGTACTAGCGGCGGAACAACGACGGACGAACCTTCGCGAACACTTCCCCCAGCTTAGCCGTGACGGCGTCCCAGGCCTCCTTTTGGTGCACAACCGCCGTCTGGTAGCTGCAGAACAAGAACCACACATCCTCGTGGAGGGTCTTTCCCCCGACTTGGTCTCCCAGCGTCTGGGGTTGGTGAGTTGGTCGTGATGGTGGTGGTGGCGGGAGTGTTGGGGGGGTGTTATCTTGTGTCAGCAACACGTGCGGAGGCTCGAGCACCCAAGTGACAGAACGCACGCTAGGAAGCGACAAAAGCAGAGAACAAGATCACCCAGGATAGGGAGTGAAACACCTGTGACACTCTGTTGGGCACGGCTGCGGGCATAAGCGGCAGCGAGAAACGTGTCTCAGCGATCAGCATGCATCGCTCGAGAAAATACAGTTCGACGCAGGCGATCCTAAATTAACGAAGGCACCCGACCCAGTCATAAGAACAAGGTTCCGAAAACAATGTTGGGATTGCTCCGCGACGTGGCCCGCCCGTTAATAAGTGCGCAAAGTAAGTTCGCACCGCGCGTCCCCTCCCTTCAACACTCAATAGCCGTACAAAAAGGCAAACAGCTGAAACAGACCTACGGGCAAAGACGATGGTACCATTGGAAGGGGTATCGGCATTGAAGGCAGCTCTTTGTGTCCGATGCTTTCGCCGATAACGCTTGCTTTTCCAGCGACGGGCTATAGCAAACAAACAAAAATCCAAGGTTATGTTCTGTAGGGTACCCACAGATCTATACCGGGGGTAATTACCCTCTGTTTTACCCTACAGAACAATTCTGTGCAAAAATCGTCCCCATCTCCCTCGACGATAACTCGAAGCTCTTGCATGTCTCCAACTACCGTACGGCTCATTCGTTTCACTCAACCAAAAAAAACGCTACACGCATAACCCCCCCCCCCTCTCGCGGTATACCGTTCCGTCCCGGCATTGCCGGAATGCCAGGCCAACGGTCTAACCACTGCGGCGTTCGTTCGCATTAGTACACCCCCCCCCCTTTCGTCCCCACACCAAAATTTCACAACACTTCCAAGGATGCGGGTTGACGCAAACGCTGCAGCACTTACTACTAACCGGTCTCCGACATGCATCAACATGAGACGCTGCCCTTGCCCCCGCATCAACACATGACAAGAATGGGGACGATAATGCTGCGATATCTCCAACTGTGGCAAGGAGAAAAAAAGTACCTCTTTCAGGTGCAGGAAGGCCTGTCCAACGCGCTTGTCGATGTTGGCCAGACTCAGCAGGCAAGCGGTTCCTTCCTCCGACAGCTCCTTGAATCGTCGCTGCATCTCCTTACCCATGACCTAATACAAAAGAACAGGATGTCAAGACAATAATATAACAAAACGTGATGTATCCCGCCGTGCTGCATCTCCTTGCCCATGACCGAATATGGAAGCACAGGATGTCCAGACTAAACATGAGACTAAGTGCTTGTATAAAGATCTTCGTATCCCGTTGGCACCGAACGATTTTTGTGTATCCTAGAAACATAGACAGGGAAAAGAGAGATAGTGTAGCAAAGGGAGAGAAGAACGACAAGTGCTCACGACCCTCGCTTTTCCTTTTGATGGAAAGGCTTTGGTAATGCCGTACCTGTGATCAAGTGCGCGCTGACGATAGACACTCGGCGCGTGAATATCGCTGCAGCCGTACAATGGGCACATAGTAACATCATCTCCACGCGAAGTGCTGCCGCCTTCCGTGTTTGCACGCTGTTTGTTCACACGCCCTTCGCGGGGTTTCATGACGAAATGGCGTTACTGAAACACATACGCGAAACATGTGGCGGCACGCGACGGTCAAATGACACTCGACGCCAACAAATTATCCCGAAGTAAGACGAACGGGCAAAATATTCTCTACCTACAGTACCCAACAACAACAACAACAACAACAACAACAACAAAACAACAACGACCACCACCACGACCGCAACAGCAACCAAACACATGACTCTTTCGCGAGCGAGGCTCTCCCCACCTTGACCTTCCCGAGCATGTCTTCGTGCTCCAGCTCGTCGCAAAGAGCGTCACGGTTACGCGCGGCTCTGCAGTCCATCTCTGCCATCTCCCAGATCGCCTTCACCTGATGACGTCAGCGATGCCACCCACATGCATGCAGCCAGAAATGTGGGACACGATGTTCAGGTGAATGGTCTCTGGGAGATCCTAGGTGTTCTCGATTGTGGCGGGGTGCACGTACCGGCACACAAGAACCGACAAGAACCAACACCAACAACACCAACAACACCAACAACACCAACACCAACACCAACACCAACACCAACACCAACACCAACACCAACACCAACACCAACACCAACAACACCAACAACACCAACAACACCAACAACAACACCAACAACACCAACAACAACACACAAGAACAAGAACAAGAACAACAAGAACAAGAACAAGAACAAGAACAAGAACAAGAACAAGAACAAGAACAAGAACAAGAACAAGAACAACATAAAAACCAACAACATAAAAACCAACAACACACTACCACCTACAACACCACCCAACAACACCAACAAAAACAACAGCAGCAACAACAGTAACAAAAACAACAAAAGCAGCATCAACAAAACCAACAAAAACAACATCAACAAAACCAGCGACGACGACAAAAAAAAGAAAAGTCAACAAACCGGTTTCCTCACCGCATTGTTAGTAGGCGCTTCTTTCTCTGGTCCTCCAGCCACCAGCAGCTCGACGTCGATGGATGCCGTCACGCCCTTGGTCTTAGCCTTCTGCTCCTCGTGGCGAATCTTGTCGTGCCTGTGTCCCACGGGAGCAGCCAGGAAGATGGAGGGAGGGCAGGGGCGGTGGATAGAAAGGAAAGGACGAAAAATTGAGAGAACTCTTGAGGGGGGGGGGGCGGTGAATGCCACGAAAAGAGTAGAAACCAAAGTGCAAATATAGCAAACCGGGACGACAAAACAGCACAAAATTGCACGCATTCAACCTACGCAATTTTCAGGACGACAAACGGACGAGGTTTGTAGGACAAAAAGACAGGAGCAACCTGCAGGGCACGGTATACAATGGGCTGGTCATCACGAACGAGGGCGCCTTCCTTTCGATCTGCGTCGCCCATTCTTTCACCCTCGGAACAACGCCACCGGGATAGGGCACGAGAGCACCAAACTACTACTCGCGGTGTGCGGACCTGTTTCGTGCCGGCAAGTACCCAGAGAAAGTTCGCCGGCACTATTCCGGACACCGGCACTATTGAAAGCTCAGAACTTGGGTGATGCCCTAAACGGGCACCCCCAACTGCTTGCGCGCGCACCTCAGCTTGGTGGCGCCCTTCTTTTCGTCGAACAACTTGTCCGCGTTGGCGAAGATGGCGGCGGTGTTAACGCGGTCAGCCTCCAGCTTACCCGCAACATACGACAGCACCTGCCGAGTCATCAGAGCCAAGAACAGCAGCGACACAAGTATTGCACCACTGTATTACCCGAGTCCGGAGTTCCAGAAGGTGATTCTACAAGCTTCTATTGGGAAAGGCATCAGAAGCTGCCGAAGTCCAGCTTCCATGAAAAGGGCAAAATAAGCTGGCCGGGTAGTAGGTAACTGTTCAGCCCAGTCACACGAGACGACCAAGACGTCGACAAAATGCCACGGGGTCGTGCACCAAACCTTGGGTCAAACGCCGTCGCCCGCCCCTGCAATGGCATGAGCTCAACGCTCCCACACACGTAAAGCACTGCCTACAACGAACCTTAACCTTCGCCTGCGTGGTGCCCCCTCTTGGTGGCTCCGACAAGCAAACCAAATCAACACAAATCGATGTCGTGGCTTGATCAACAAATCCTAATTAGCAACAGATGATGATGATGTGTGCCAGAAAAGAGAGGAATCAACGCAACGTCTACTTTGTACATACAACTCGTGTGGAAAAACAACAGCCCAGTCATCACCGTGCACCCACCTGCTGAGTAGGCCCGTCGTTCAGGCTCATGACGTCGCACAGGCTTGACCAGTACATGGAGGACTTGCGGTACTCATCCGCGAAGTACCTGTTGTTCATCCGCGATACGTTTGCGGGAAGGTTAACCTCCGAGCTGTATTGCATGCGAGTCTCGTTAACTCACCCGCGAGGTACCTGTTGCTATTGTTGTTCATCCGCGATAAGGAAAGCGCTTGGTAGACGGCTATTCTCATTCGGGCTTCGTGTGCACGCCAGCCCCATTTCAGCGTTTACCCTCCGCAATACCTCCCGCCCCCGTACACCGCGCCGTACAACAACGCACACACGGCAAGAAGCGCTCATAATTTCGGCAGCGACGACTGCTGCGGTGTTGCCCTCGAACGACAACGTGGCATAGCCAAGAGCTCTCTGTCTCTGTCGTCGGGAATGTTCGAATTGTGGACCCGCAAAGCATGCCTCCCGAAGCAACAACTATTCTGTATCTGTTCCAGGTTGTTCTTGCTACCCAAGTCCCTATCTCTGTGTGTGCGGAAGCGAAAGGTGCCAAATATTAGAGGCAAAACCAGAAAGGAACAGGGGGGTTGTTCACCTGGTTGGTGACTAACAGCAGTGTGCCTTATCAGGATCTGATCTGTGGATGAACCTATGACCACGGAAAACCGTTGTCGATTTCGAAGAGAGCCGTTCACAGCTGAGGTACTATGATACGGCTGTAGCAGAGGTCACCCGGAGAACGGTTTTCTGATGAGCAGGTGGCGATCTTCCCGCGGTCGTGCTGTGGGCGGTGTCGGCGTGGGCTAAGAGGGATGTGCGATGTGAAACCGGTACACGTCGACGGGGGCGTGCAGTGCCAATCTCTCCCTCTGACAGCAGGATCTGTCACACGAAGACCGTGCTGGTGTCTGCGGCTGTGCCGAGCTGATGTTCCCCCTTACCATCACATGTCGGAAATCCACAGCAGTATCGCTGTTTATGTGCGAGATAAACACATGTCTTCATTATCATTGAAAGGAGTACAAGGGGGCTTCGCGGCGTACCGCTTCGCGGTCGCCGCTACGCTAGTAGGTTGAATGGCGATGGCAAGTGTGTGCGGGTGGAGTTTTTGTATAAGAGAAATAATGCTGCTGCAAAGAGGGAAGAAGTCGATTGTTTGTTCAAAGAACAGAGACGCACAATAACAAAATTCATATGTTATGCGACAGCCGGAGGCACAAGAGTATTTATTTACTCGGAGTAAGAATGTTGTTGTTAGTAAGCAAAGGCTCACTTTCCACGAAGAAAGTAAGCAAATAAAGCATAAAGAAACATACTAAATAGCTCAACCTGTGGGCCACACAATAGAAGAAACGCCTCACTCTCTGACTCAAGGAGAAAACAGAGGAGGAGCGATCCCTAAATACTCTACTATTCGTAAAACATGAGGGGTTAAGGGGCGGGGGAGGGGAGTGAGTGAGTGGTGTGCCGAAGAATAAAACTGGAGAAAGATTCACCAAGCCAACAGTTTTTTTTCTCTCTCATTTCCCCCTCTCCCATGTTCTACCCACCCCCTCAGCAAGACGTTGTATGTAGCTGATAAAGTTCGCTTCTTCCAGGATGTATGTGTGGTCTTCGTACGTATACATGTATGTGATCTGATGTCCAGCCGTCGTTGGTCAGAATCGGGGTTGGTTGGGTACGGGGGGCGAGCAAAAAAAGCAGCACAAATCATTCCACGGTAGTTTTCCAGCACGCTGTCGGTTAATATTATTAGCATCGACCGCGCTAATCGGCTGACCAATGAAAACACGTCAGTTTCGGCGCGGTTGAAAACACAAAACATACTTCTACATCCCATTAACTGGACCCCGTGAGGAGGCGGCAAGGGGGAGACCAAACTATTCTCCGGACCAACGATAGAAACGAACGTTAGCAACAGAAAAAAACTGCACACACACACACACACACGTCTACGAAGGCTGCTGCCCTGTACTCGAGTTCGTATTGGAGTGAGTGCGTTCACCGTCATCCTCCTTCCTTCCAACTCCCTCTATCGTTCTCATGGTCATTTTCACGGCAACTTCTCGACATTTCGCCTCTAGCCCTGCGGCATTTGTGGTGGGGAAGGTCGTCTGGCTCGAAGCTCTTGCTCTCTTCCACCTTGTGTGCGTGTGTGTGTACACTGTGTGTAGTCAACAAAGAAAAAAATGTCAAAACTTTTTGACAATTTATGAAAATATGGCAACAACCCACAGCAGCATCAATTATTGTTATATGCTCTTGCCAGAGTTTTGGGAGTCAGATGACTGTAGAAGTTCCTGTGTTGGTGTGTGTTGGTGGGATGCGGAGTATGTCCGTGTAGCCGCTCTAGAAAAAACTGCTGCTGCCTTTGCGGCGTACCGCTTCGCGGTCGCCGCTACGCTCGTAGGTTCAATGGCGATGGCAAGTGTGTGCGGGTGGAGTTTTGAAATGAGAGATACATTCGAAGAAGAAATGCTGCGAAGAGGAAAATCGATTGTTTGTTGGAAGAGCAGAGACGCACAATCAATAAATTCATACCATGTACGTTATTATGCGACAGCCGGAGAGTATTTATTTATTAACTCGGAGTAAGATATTTGTCTTGAAAAAACAAAGTCATGCTCAATTTCCACAAAAAAAAACAGGAAAACAATACATAGCTCAACCTGGGCCACACAACTAATAGACGAAACGCATCAGTAGAAAAACAGAGGAGCGATCCGCTGAGCACTCTTCTACTTTTGTTCGTAAGACACGAGGGGTTACGGGGGGGGAGGGGAGTGAGTGAGTGAGTGTGTCGAATAATAAAACTTGAGAAAGATACACCAAGCAAAACAACTTTTCTCTCTCTTCCCCCCTCTCCCATCCACCCATGTGCTACTCACCCCCTCAGCGAAACGCTGTACTTATTTACTTATAATATTGTAGCTGAACAAAGTCGCTTCCTCTAGGGGATGTATGTGTGTGTGTGGTCTTAGTTTGTATGTCATCTGACATGCAGCCGTCGATGGTGAGAATCGGGGTTGTTTGAGTACGGAAGGCGAGGAACAGCAGCACAAATCATTATATACACGGTAGTTGTGTGTGAGCAAAGGCAGGGAGATATGACAACTTTTTGCCGCTTTATGAAAATATGGCAGCAGCCCCAGCAGCAGCAGTAATATTGCTTCATATGCTCTGCCAGAGGGTTTTGGGAGTCAGATGACTGTAGAAGTCCGTGTGTTGGTGTGTGTTGGTAGGATGCGGAGTATGTCCCTGTAGCCGCCCTACAAGAAACTGCCGCTGAAGTGTGGTACGTAGCCTAAAGATATTTCCACGGGTAGGTTTAGTACAGTAGAGTATGTTTAGTAGAGTATCGAGAATCTGTACTAACGGTTGAGTAGAGTAGAGTATGAGAGAGGTGAATACTCTACTCACCTGAGTAGAGTACAGAGGTTAGGTACTAAACTCAAAGAGTATGTTTAGTAGAGTATGAAAAGCCGTATAGCACGGGTAGGTTAGTATAGTATCTACTATTTGTACTGACCCGAGTATTGAGTAAGTATCTGGCCCTTTTCGCCCAGTAGAGTAATACTCACACTTTAGTACAGCTATTCATACTCTAATTTGTAAGTACGGCTCTTCAATACTCTACTAATCATCTTTTTGAGNAGTAGAGTATGAGAGAGGTGAATACTCTACTCACCTGAGTAGAGTACAGAGGTTAGGTACTAAACTCAAAGAGTATGTTTAGTAGAGTATGAAAAGCCGTATAGCACGGGTAGGTTAGTATAGTATCTACTATTTGTACTGACCCGAGTATTGAGTAAGTATCTGGCCCTTTTCGCCCAGTAGAGTAATACTCACACTTTAGTACAGCTATTCATACTCTAATTTGTAAGTACGGCTCTTCAATACTCTACTAATCATCTTTTTGAGATAGTATGGCTTTTCATACTCTACTCATACTCACTTTATAGTACGGCTCTTCATACTCTACTCAACGTACTCTTGCAGTTTAGTACGGCTTTTCATACTCTACTAAACATACTCTGAGTTTAGTATGGCTTCCTATACTGTACTTACTATCACTTTAGTATAGCTTCTCATACTCTAAGGCTAACCCTAACTTCTCCCTTCTTCCCCTCGCTCCTCGACAAGCTTTTGCTTAGACATGGGTTGTAGTGAAGGGGGGGGTCTTTCTGGCGAGCAGGGCTAGACTCACCCTCAAGGGATGACCGAAACCTTCTTGCTGCTGCGCATATCCGCCGCGAGGCATGCGCGTGGTGGTGTAGTTGGGTCGGCACTGATGGGGTCAGGCGAAAAAATGTAGATGCGCGGGCCTCTGGCCGTCGGCGTAGG